TTATTTAAAATGATGTCTAGATAACGTGTCTTTTAGACGGCAACCACGTCAACAGGCTAGCAGAAAAGTTAGCCTAGCTTGTTGTCAGCTAACTCACGTCAGCTTAGCCACTAGCACTAGTTGTTATTGGGACAGCAAATAATTAAAACGAAACATTAATATCCTGTTTTATGTCTTATCTAACACTACAGGCTTTCAATACGTTTGTTAGACTTGGAAGTAGCCTACCATATTAATGACAAAACAGCTAGTTTTGAGAGGCTACCTATCAGCAGGAAAAATATTCAGTGCAACTTTTGAAATGTTAAAATCTCAAAAGTCTCATCAGATCATAATGGTTTGGAGGTATCATGCAGATGGTGGACCATAGTGTATAAATTACTCACAAATGTTATGGAAATTTCCCGAGGTTTGTTTAATAAGTTAAGGAAAGTCCAGAAATGTATGTAAGTCAATGAGAGGTAAAGACGTTACCTCTCATTGACTTACATACACTGCTATCCGTTTTGCAACCAGCAGATGGCTGCGCTCTATTTGATACTATTGTGACATCGACTGCTTATTTTCCTCACTGACCAGTATCAATAGGCTATTGATATTCATCTATCTATCTCTCGCCATCATCCTCTCTCCCAATCTCTCGACTGTAGGCATTTGCAGACATGGGGGTGCAGAGCCTGGGCTGTTTCGCACACACACTCCAACTCGAGGTCATCCAAGGCCTTCTCGCCCAGCGAAGCATCATCGATGCAGTCGCCAACGCACGGAAGCTTGTGGGTCATTTTAAGCATTCCCCAAAGGCCTACTCCATCCTCGAAGACATTCAGGTGGTTATCATTTTATTATTATTATTATTAGTAGTAGTAGTAGTACTATGTTATCTTTTTAGTAATTGCACTTTCCCCCCTCCCTGTCATGTCATTGTAAAGCAATCCATCATTAGGCTACACTAGTGTTGAAAGGATGTTAGCCAACAAATAATTAACCTAAATATAGAAGCATTTTGAGTGGCCTACTAGAAAAGCGATACACACAGCTGATTTATTTTAATTATTATCATTATTATTACTTTACAGAAAGACCTGTACATGCCAACACAACGACTCCAGCAGGACGTGTCAGTCAGATGGAACAGCACTCAGTACATGATGCTGGTAGGCTATATGGATGGAAGGAATGAATGCAAAGAATGAATAGATTTTATTTTTTTTACATGTGAATCAGCCTAAATAAATACATTTAGATGTGAGGTATATAGTTCTACTTGTGTTTTACACATGAATGTTAAACTAAGATTTATTTACTTATTTTGCAGAGCCTTCTTCAGCAAAAGAGGCCGCTCAGTGTCTATGCAGCGGACCACGACCTTCCATGCATGCCCTCTGCCAACCAATGGGCGCTTATGGAGAAGGCAGTGGTCTTGAGTCCATTTGAAGAATTGACGAGGGCAGTGAGTGCTGCGACTGCGATCCCTGCAATAACTGTCCTCAAGCGTCATCTTTCCCGTGAAGAGAGCACAGATGCTGGAATCAAGACTATGAAGAGAACACTTCTTTAGGCTGTCACTGAGCGCTTCGACTACGCTGAGACTGAACCAATCTACTCCGTTGCTACATTGGTTGACCCAAGATACAAAGAAAGGCAAGTCCTGTTTGATTCAAAACTTATTTTGCGATATATAATTGCTCAGGCCTAATCAATTCACCACTTGATTATTAATTATCAAATAACATCAAAATAAATGTTCCAAATGTTGTTCTATGACATTGACAACAATAACTTTGATATGCTAAGGGAACGACAACATATGTTAGGAAACAAATAATCCTTTTTAACTAAATGAAATTCTATCCATTTTCAGATTCTTCACAAGTCCAGACCACCAGGAGCTTGCCAAGGAGGCTCTCATTAGAGAGGTGGAGATCATGGAGAGAAAGAGGAAGGCTGGCAGTGAGGTGTCTGCAGAAGAGCCTCCAAGAAAGTCACCACGTCGAGGCGGTGTAGGCTGTGCAGCTGCAAACAGCAGCTTTGTCAGTCTATATGACGAGATCTTGGAGGGGAATGTGGTGGAGTCGAGGCCTGTGAGTACGTCAGCAGTCGTCACTCAGGTGGAGGCCTACCTGGCTGAACAAACCATCCCAAGGTCAGAGAATCCTCTACACTACTGGCGAGCACATGCTACACAGCGACCCGCACTGGCTGATACAGCCATGAAGTTTCTTTGTGCACCTTGTACATCGGTGGACAGTGAGAGACTGTTTAGATGAAAAAAGGTGCAGGTGTTGGTTTTCATTAAAAAAAACCTGCACTACACTTTGAAGAAGTCAGTGCAGTAGATTAAGATGGAGGAAATAAGGAACTATATTACACTGTAAAAATGTTTGTTTAAGTTTAGTGAGTACATGTCTCTGAGATCCCTTAATTACCCACTGTGAAAAATAATAAGTTCAGTTTACGTCTCAAATAAGTAACCAACACTTTGTGTATGTTATGTTTACTTTATGTGTACAATTAATGCAAAGATTTTTAAGTTATGGTTACTTACTTCCAAGAAGTAAAGTTTAGTGAAGCTTACTTGTATTTACTGCTTTTAAATGAGTAACCTTTTGAGTTGTAAAGGGTACTTTATGTTGGATAGTAAAGTTTACCTGCAGAATATTCATACTATAGTTTCTAACTACTGGCAACTTGAACAACCAAAGTCCTATTTAACAGAATAAAGGGAACTGAAAGATTAGATTTTTTTAATTAATATTTCCAAAAAAATGCTCTTATTTGTGATAGTGAGAGGATAAAATCTATTGAGCACAGCTTGGGTGCCTGTTTATTTCTTAATGTATACAAAATTAAATGCTGTTTGCCAACACAAAAAGTGATATCGGAAATCGGTATCGGAAAACCGGTATCGGGAAATATCGGGATCGGAACCTATATGAAAATATCGGGATCGGAAGCTAAAAAATGAGATCGGGACATCCCTAGTAGGTACAGTCAACATGTGCAGTGTTTCCCACAGAATTTGATTATATTTGTGGGGGCGCCCCCCCCCGCGTTGTAAATAAGTGAGCCACACCGGAGTTGAGGGTCTGTGGGGTTTATTCTCCAAAAAATGTAATTAGCAGACGCCTTATTCTAAAGCAATTTACATTAGATTACAGACATTTACATTTAATTACATTCTCCCTGGAGTAACTGAGGGCTAAGTGCCGAGTTCAAATCCCACCTGGAACACCACCACTAGGATGTCTAACAAACTAAATTAAATTTGGCTCGGCTACACAACGCTTCAGATGTTGTGCAAAGTTGGCAGCCTACTTGTTGCAAAGTTTGCACCGTTTGTCTTGACATCCGATTTTACGGGGCTTTCTGAAAAAATATTCTAATGCCCTATCATATGGGAAGGCCTCAGGACAGGGAGGAGATCTTCAAGCAGGCAGCCAGGTGTTCTCCTTGGAGCTGGTTTCGGAGGTCTGTTTTCACCTGAGGATGAAGCAAAATGGAATACCACAAACTGCACTAATAAAGATGCATAATAATTTGTTGTGCTTTTCATCGCCGAGAAATTGCGTTCACAGTTGACACTAGAAACGGGGATAACTAGTCCTATGCCCGCAAGGAGGCTCAGGCAGGGGTAGAGCTCAGCCCATTCATCACATTTGCTTGCCAGCAGACTTATGATCTCATCCTGTGTGTTGTTCTTGAAACAAACAATTGGTTTACCATCATGGCATTGTTGTGTGTGTGTTGTGAACCATAGTTGATTGTAGTCATAATCAGCTTAATTCACCCACCTTGAATGTCCCAGTAAGGTGATTCTTGAAGGATAACCACTCCTGGAGGACGTCATTCCCATGTTGAGGGAGACATTTCCGGGCAAGAGTCTGCAGATAAGAGACTATTGTATCATCTTGTAGAGCAGCTGATTGCGGTCCCAAGACACTAAAGGCCCCAAGGATGTCGAGATCATGGAACCTCCTGTCCAGGTGTATTTCCAGGCCCGTGATGTAAGGGTGGATGACCTACAACAGATCAATATATTTTTTAGGAAGAGCCTACACCCCCTTTACTACAGTCATTAAGGGCCAGGCCAGAGTTTGTTCAGGACTACAAATAATAATAGTAATACAAATAAACATTTTCTTTGAAGAGGAAGGGGGAAATTCATTCATTTTAAACTTAGGCATTTACCTCTCGCTGGAATCTGGCCCACTGCTCCTCCCTAGGCACTTCTTGGACCATCTCACACCCTCTCCTTTTCCTCCTCCTCCTCGTGCTGTATATTGAAGGCTCCAAGTCCTTGGGGATCATCGAGGTCCTGATGGAGGCGGGACAGGAATGATCCAGGGAGTGGAGTCTGTCCAGCCTCTTTGATGCTCCTCAGAGTCTGGATTGTGGCAGGAACCTACATTTAAAAAGGAATAGCTGCTGTTTTGTATTGGTCAGACATGCAAACAACCCTCATTTCAATGTATCAAATCAAACAGATTTTAATAAATAGAAGTGCACATTTAGCATACCTGCAGCTTGATGTGTAGAAAGTTGACCTGTGGCTTCTGAAAGGTTTTGGACAGGCGTGTGAGATGGGGCAAAACATCAGCCTGAAGGTAAACCGCTGCCACAAATCTGTACGTAGCACAGAATGTGTAGAGTCCCTTTGCCCCTGGACATCTCCTCACTTCTGCCTCCTCTGCCAAGGCTCCAAGGACTGCACTCAGGTTCCTCTGTAGGGTCTCGATGGCCTTGTGCTGAGAGAGCCAGCGTGTGTCCTTCACTTCCTGGAAATGTTGCAATTAAAGACATAATTAGTTATGAATAGACAGACAATAACTACTGTGGTATCAAATTACTATTACCTTCATTTTCAAGTCACTGACACCCAGGGTGGTGGATGCTGCCTTGAGTGTTGCGGTACGGTTGGCACTGTTTCGGAAGTAGAGATGGAGATCTTGAAGGTGGTCTCTGAAAGTGGCCATGTACCTGACATTATTCGATGAGTCCTTGCAGACAAGGGCCAATCTGTGAGCAGCACAAGCCACAGCCACAATCTTGGGGAAGCTGTCTGCAAGTTGCTTTGCAACCCCATTCAAACGCCCTGAATTTAAATAAAATGATTTAGTGACAAACATGGGATACAACAAACAACATAATCTCACATGGGCATACAATTATTACCTGTCATAACGGCTGCCCCGTCTGTCCCGAGTCCATAAAGTTTCTCTGTTGGGAGGTCCTTCTTCAGCATGACATCCTTGATGGCGTTCACGACAGTGTTTGCTTTGCCATCGGCAATAGCGACCAGGTCCAGGAATTGATTTAACACATGTCCCTCCTTATCCAGGTATCTGAGAAAAAGCATAGGCAAGTATTTAGTATTCACAGTTCAGGACCCAGGATTAATGGCATTCTGACTTCTAACCAAATAAATGTTCCCATACCGGACATGCACATCTGCACAGTTGACTGATAATTGACACATCTGTGCTCTCATCGACTTCCAGGCTAATTGCCTGCGATGATTTCATCTCGATGAGAATGGGCTCCTCAACGACTTGTGCTAGGATCTCAAGCATCTCGTCGATGATACGATGAGACCTATAATTATTCCTCTGGTCAATCTTGATTTAGGGAAAAGGGAGGAAAATAAGGACTTTGTAATTTGGTAAACATTTTCATTAAAGGAGCAGGAGGCGGCCGCCGATTTATGGCAGAATATTTAATTTCTCATTATATCATGACAATAATCGATAGTAATCAAACAAATAAAGACGTTATAGAAATGAAAAACATCCGTAGTCTGTGGAAGGGGCAGGAGCGAAAACAAAACATCCAATCAATCGCATCACCAAGTTGATTGGAATGGCCTAGCTGTCTGTCAAACTGCCTAATGAACACGCATTGTTAATGGGCTTTGGAGGCATTCTGATTTGAAACAAAGTCTAAGTTCATCCAAAAATCAACGGCCATCTCCTGCTCCTTTAATGTAAAGATTGAATGTAATCTTAAATAATGGCTAGGTGACCTTTACCTTTAATTTCCTGAAATAGTCACACCCTAGAAGCTCAGCCAGGCTCAAAAGCTTGGGGTAGTTTGTGTGGAGGGCCAGTTCATTCTTTATGAGCCAGTAAAGACACTTGAACCCACCAATGATTGCCTCATGCTCCAAAACAATAGTGGGCTCAAAGGAGTTCATCACTGAGATGCCTGTAAATTACAAAATATTAAAATAATTAAAAAAGTATTACTCAAGTTATGTTATTATTAGGGCTGTCAAGTTAACGCGTTAATAACAAAAAAAAATTAACGCCACTAATTATTTTAACGCGATTAACGCATGTGTATTTTTTTTCCTCGGCCGCCTCGTAGTTTCAGAGCGCATCGAGTTTAAAATACCATCTACAAGCTGATGCTGACAGCCCCGCTCCTGCCGCCCGCTTGTGGCAGACCACACTTCCACGCTCACCGGCAGGCACTGACTGGCTGTTGGGAGGACCGGGAGGGTGTGTGTATGTGTGGCCCGAGCGAGCGAGAGAGAGACCTTACGTGCATTGTTGTTGTTAGCATCTGGTGCTAGCTAGCTGCGCTAACGGATATGGAGCTGTTTAAATGAAAACAGAGGAGCGACATTTCGCCACAACTGCGCCGAGCACTTGACTTTATGCAGGAAGCCAGACAGTGGGACATTGTACAAAAAGTCAGCACACTCAGCACGGATAGTGCGCAACATGATTGCAGCGTCCAGGCAGCTCCCGTTCGAGCATATGCCTTGAGTTGCACATAGCTCCAATGATCCATCACACACACACACACACTCACGCGTGTGTGCGCGCACACACACACACACACACACACACACACACACACACACACACACACACACACACACACACACACACACACACACACACACACACCCATTTGTGTATTGTATTATTGTATGAGAAAGGTTCCAGGTTGAATTGAGGCGAATATTTGTAATGTTCAGAGGTTGTTGTGTTTAATATTCATGAGAATATTTGTCATTGTTCAAATGATAATAAACATTAGCATAAAGCATATTTGTCCACTCATATGTTGATAAGAGTATTAAAAACTTGAAAAATATTCCTCTAAGGTACATTTAGAACAGATAAAAAATGTGCGATTAATCGCGATTAACTATGGACAATCATGCGATTAATCGCGATTAAATATTTTAATCGACTGACAGCCCTAGTTATTATATACCTGCTGTTGAAATTGGAACATACCAGATGCAAGAGATGCCTGACATCTGATGCTCTCCTAATGGTGCTCTGTAGCAATGTGCCAGTCCAAGTAATCTTTTCCAAACGACACAGCTCCAACCTCAACAAAAGGCCTCTTTCCCCCGCCACGTCCTTTCTTAATTGCAGGCTTGTGGTGCCTGCACAGTCGACAGAACATCCCTAATAAGTAGAGCAATCATTTATCATACTTGCTAAATAGCCACACATATACCTGATCATGTATTATTTGTTGATATGTATATATTTTTAATCTTTAAATAATATAGGCAAGAAGAAGACAAGAAAGAAAACGAGAAATAAAAACATGTCTGATTATTTATTCATGAATCATAGCCCAAATTATGCAGATATTAAATGTACCATGCTGTGTGTGGTCAAATCCAGTGCGTCTATGCTTGCTGCTTGCTGATGTCTTGTCTGCAAGGCACACAATTACAGAAATGAGGCACAGAAGAATAGAAATGATGCCTCAAAAATCTGGTTCTCTGAACACCTGACCTGCTTATATATCTCTCTGTTTTTGCTGTCAATCTCACCTGCTGCTTTTGAGCTAGCTGGCTCTGCCACGGCTCCCTGACCCTCTCTTGCTGCTACACTAGCACTGGTTGAAGCCTGGAAATATTTCAAACAAATTAATTGGATAGCTAATCACACTGGTCGGACTGTTCAGCTTTCCCGCGTGTCCCACCAACGCAGGGCCGCCCCTCCCTGTAGGCCAATCACGCAGGCTGCATTGGGCCCTGCCCAGAGGGCCTCAGCTGCTGTGCGCAGTTCCCCCCCCCCCCCCCCCCCCGCGAGAGTGAGAGGTGACAAGGGGAGCACGTCTGTAACCCGACACCGTTGCAATGAATCGACATCTGACCAATCACGGCTTTGATACGGCCACTAGTGCAGGTGAAGAGATGTCGGTGAAAAGACACTTTCAGTCCGGAGCAAGCAAGAGGGAAAAAAACTAAAACATGAAGAAACTAGAGCATCACTCGAAGGTGGGTTATTGTATGAGTCAAATGTACAACTTGCAAATGTTGTATAAGTCAAATTGCCAATTGCCATATTAAAACATCAGCTGCAATTCACGACATGAAGAAGGCAGTCTCTGCATAGCATATATATAGGCTAATGGAGATGCAGTTATTTCCAGCATTCTTTATTTACCATTCATTCAAGTATGTTATGCCTTTTATCTGCTAATGTACAGGAGGAAGAGTGATACACTGTCTGTCTAGTTGGCTTACATAACAGTTAAAGTTTACAGCTTAAAAAACATGGCGCATTTGTTCCCCTCTTATTCATTTTTATGTCAATTTGCACAGTTCATGGTGATGCTCAGCCTCTCCCCTTAACTCCTAACAGTCATCATCATGTCAACCACAACACAGAGAAATACTGATAGAAATGTGTGTGTAGTTGTTGATACATTGCTGACAGAGGGAACTAGAATACAGATTTAAGAAATATCAGTTTTTGAGCATGTCATAAGCATGTTTTGTCTTGACTATATTACAACTATATTATAATAAAATAATATAGTATTTATATTATTGAATTGATTATGATTATTAGTAGAAGTAGTTTATTTGCATTCATTATATTTTAATCTTTTTGAGGCTAGTTTTTGGCAGAAATGCAGACGTATTCACCGGTAAACGCATACTGAACGACATACATGCACATTTACCATTGACCTCACTGTATAAAAAAGTAACTGTGTTGATAATAATAATAAACAGGAATTATATTTGCAAAGTAGCCTACTTTGTTTCCAAAAAAAATGTTTTCACTCCTGTCAGTTGGGGGGGCCTCATCTCACAATGTCGCTTGGGGCCCCAAGTTGGCCAGGGGCGGCCCTGCACCAACGTGTGTTTCTAGCTAGGTACTCTTGCTAATACCTCTGTTCCAGGCTGTCTTTGCTCCTCTTCAGGATGAGCCCGTTTCTGCCTCTGAAAATATGTTTCTATATTCAACTGGATTGAGGGAGCAAACATCATTCAGCGTCAGAGTTAAAGAATTAAATGCAGTGGGTAGTTGACTAACGTTAGGAGCGCTATAATGCAGTGCTTGAATTGGAATGAAAAAGGTGCCAGTACTCTAAAATCAGCAACTTTTTCAAGTCAATTTTATATATATACAGCCCACAAACAAGAATTTGGCTACTATAATGCTGGTGGGTTTGTCTCTTTACTACTGTATATTTTAGAAAGGTTCACTGTACTTAACATTTTTTATGATAGGCAGCGGATATGGCTAAAGCTCAGTAAGGTCAATATTAACTGAAAATATAGCAATCAAAGTCTAGATCTTCTGCTGAAGACACATGAAGCAGAGACCTTTCAGGTGAGAGCCCCTCTGGTGGTGTTCAACATTAATGACAAGGAAACAAAGCTCTGGTCAGAAGCATTTTTTATAAAAAGCTTTAACAAAATTAAGTATTTCTGTACATTTTGAATGCAATCTAACTTTCCAACTCAGAAAACGAAAAACGAAAAAGTGCCAAAAGTCTTCTCACATGGCTGAGCTGCTTTGCAATATACTTCACCACTGAAGAATACAAATATGTATAAAGTAAACTATGATGCAATCTAACTTTCCAACTCAGAAAAATGATAAAGAGCATGAACAAAGAACATGTAAAAACAAATGCAAAATTTGCACAATCTAAAATGAGAAACTGTAACTGCAAGTAACAAAGTCTGAGCCATGGTAAAGAGTTACATTGAACACCAAGCTGATCAGATAACTCCCTGGTTGGTCTGAAGTCCTTCTATCTCCAGGATCTGTACAAATCGGCACATTATGCCAAAAGTCTTCTCACTGGGTGAGCTGCTTTGCAATATACTTCACATTGTTAGAAAAGGCTCCAGAAGGCCTTGGGGACATCAGTATCAGGGGCTGGAGCTGGACAGGCTCTTTCATCAGCACTTCTCCTTCCCTTTGCCAGCCAGGACCTCACATACTGTTCCGGATTGAACTGTCCTAGTGATGGTCCATTACATTTAATGAAAACCAGGCTGGACAGTCGGCTGACAGAGAGAGCATTCCTTTTTGCAGTAAGGATATCGTTCATGCAGCTGAATGCCCGCTCACACTCACTAGTGGAGACAGCGATGGTTCGGACTGCTTTCAGTAGAGGCTCCATGGCAGCAGGTGTACGGGATGCCCTGGTTTCCTTGTATTCGCGAAAGCCCTGAACAGTCTCTCTTCTGTCCACTTTCAGCACTTCGCACAAACGTAGCACCTCTACGTCCCCATACTGTACGTCTAACTCCTCTTCAGGCCAACTTCCAGGATGGATAACTTTCATGTCCTGGATTAGCTGATTGTCCCGGGCCTCCCGGCCATGTAATGGGATTTCTCTTGTGCTGACATGAGAGGAGGTTGTGGAAGTCATTCTGTGTCTCAGATTCTCTACCATACTGCGGAAAAAACTGACCTGCATGAATCTGTACAAGCCTGCCATTCTCACGCAGGGCAACACCCTTGAAGGACTTCTCAGCTAGAGCTGTATGAACTGTAGTCATGTGTGGGCCAGGCATGGTGACCATGGATTCAAAAACTCGTATTTCTCGAGTTAAGAGCCTATCTGCTGTAGGCAGTGCCATCTCTCTTTTTTGGAGTTGCCGAGAGAGGTCGCTGAGCTCTGTGAGCGCATCGTACATCAGTCCCAGATTGCTGACAAACGTTGCAGATGTGAGCACATCATCCAGGCCCTTGTACTTTGCTCTGTCTCTGGAATCCCTGCTCGTGTCGTTTGCAGCATTTGTGAAGTGATCATGAAGCACTCGGTAGTTTTCCCAGACTGCTCTGACGCTCCTTTCACTTGAAGCCACCCAGCGGATGGACAAAACACGCCCTATCACCAGGAGACGCTGTCCGACTGCTTGCGCACACTGCGCTAACTGCCTCTGATTTTTGGGGGAGGCATGGAACAAGGAATAGAGTTTGTCAAAAAAGATCTGGAAATGATTGAGCCCTGAGACCTCCTTGACCACATCCCCAACTGCCAGCTCTAGACGATGATTGGAGCAGTGCCACACAAACAGGCTTGGGAATTTACTACACAACTGGGTAGCAACGCCTGTTCTCTTCCCTAGCATGACTGAAGCCCCATCACATGCAAAAGAAACGAAACACTGACCTAAAAAGTCCTCGTTAAAATCTCTTCCAAGACACTCCATTAACGCCTTTGTGATGTCATTAGCCGTTGTTCCATCCAACTCGATCAGCTCCCAAAAAAAACGTTTCGGGCTCAGCATCAGCTAATGCTGAGCGTAGACACACAACAAGCACCGTTTTACCACTAATAGTGGTAGATTCATCGACCAAAACACAGTTTTCTTTGGTTTTCTGTAATGTCTTTTGCCATTTTTTTCTTCAGCTCATGAGCTATGTGGTCGATGATTTCGCCACAGGTTTTATTGGAGTGCAAAACCCTGCCCACGTTCAGCCCATTCAGTTTCTGTACATTCAAATCAATTGGCATGTCTGTGAATGGCCGGCTATGTTTGCCAATTTTATATGCCGTTCGAAAAACTCTGATAGTGGTGTCTAATTCAGATTTATGCATAGACTGCACTTGATGTTGAATAGTTTCACGTGAAGCAGATGTAAGGATGTCAGCAGCTTTTACATGGGCTTGTGATTCTTTATGTTCTTTGATTTTTTTTCTCAGGCTAACTTGTTGTTTGCCCTTGTCAACACCGAAATGAGACACTGCACACTCACCCCATTCAGTTGACAGTTTCAGTCCTTGTCCAGTGTGTATTCCCAAAGATTTGACATCTCTGCATATCCGACATCCTAGCTTCTTATCTTTAAGAAGGAGCCATGCATTGGTCTTGCAAAAATATTGCACCTGGTCCGTTGTCCAGCAGTCAGGTGCATCGCTTTGCCCGGTGTTGGTGGTGGCAGTTGCGCCAGCAGCAGCTAACTTTAGAGGCTCTGGAGGAGGCGGCGGAGCTAGTGCTAATGCTAATGCACTAGAACTTGGAGCAGGAGGATCAACCAAAGAAAGCTCCCCATCAGACACAATTTACAACACAGGCACAGCATTCTCTGTATTTGAAGTTTCTTCCGGCGACAACCGCTGTCTTTTTGCACTTTTATTAATCCACGCTAACATTTTAGAAATGCTAATTTGTGACGTGACTTGCTTCCTTCTCTCGGGGGGCGTGCCTGCTCTGTTCTATCACTCTACATAGCCACCCACTGGGTGGGAGTTGCACTGCATAAACACAACACACGTGCATCTAGGTATGTAAATTGTAAAGCATTAAAACATGGTTTTACTAACAGTTTTCAGTATGTTGTTACTTCGGCATTATTATTATTATTATTATTTTGAAACGTGTATTACTATTAAATCACGGTCAAATAGGTTAATTTTGACAGTCGTTTCCACCACAGTATTTACATGGAGAAGATAAGCCCCGCCCCCTCTCCAGCACGTTCTGTTTGAATGACAGGAGTAAACAGCTGACAGCCGCTGTGAAACTCCAGCGGTTAGAGCGATGAGAATGTCCGTTCGGCACCTCATGACGCATCTACTGAGTACCGGGCGGCTGTATATATATATATATGGATGTATAATAAGAACGGCGGGAGAGTGTTGAGTACTGGCACGGTGCATGAGTACCGGAGTACCGCCAGCATGCCGGTACTGAGCAAGAAGTGCCGGTACTCCATGGGTCAGAACCAGAAGTGCCGGTACTGCGTACCGGTGAGTACCGGCCCAATTCCAGCACTGCTATAATGTTATAATGCGTGCTAACCTCGACAACCCAGCTAGCAACTAGCTAGCTAGGCTCCTTTCATGCTTGCTAGCTAATAACTTATTTGAAGAGCTGGGTCTCCGCGATTTACAGCGTGATACGAACAGAGAGACTAACTTATCAGAAACTTAGAAACTTAACTTATCTTGAATACATCCATTTTGGACAAATGTATGCATATAGCCTACCAACCATTCGTGAAGTGATTCTCCGGCACGCAGCATCTGGTTTCCAACTTCAGAAATGTCTTGCAGAGAGGAGGGGGCGGGGCTCAGGGGCCGTTGAGAACAAAGAGCGAGCAAAGAGGGGCTGAGTGGGTAACTGTGCTCTTCAATGAAATATATATTTTATTCAAAAATTATTTTTATTTTTTTGGAAAAAAAATATTTTTTACGAGATCTATTTGTGGCGGACGATATTTAATTGTGGCGGCCCGCCACAAATAAATCAATATATGGGAAACACTGATGTGTCCGTGCTGAACAATACCCCCAACCCGTAGTTCCATGAGTGAATTATGTCAATCAATGATCACTACAATACTCTTTATATAGCTACTTACTTTAAAACGTATTTCTACGACAGTAAATGTGATAAATTGATTCAACATCATCACCTGGGCGCCTCCCTAGGGAGGTGTTCCAGGCACGTCCAGCTGGGAAGAGACCAAGGGGTAGACCTAGGACCAGGTGGAGGGATTATATCTCTTCGCTGGCCTGGGAGCGCCTTGGGATCCCCCAGTCAGAGCTGGTTGATGTCGCCAGAGAAAAGAAAGTTTGGGGCTCTCTGCTGGAACTGCTACCCCCGCGACCCGACCACGGATAAGCGGGAGAAGATGGATGGATGGATCATCAATAACCCCCAAAATTGGCCAAGCCATTTTTAAACTATTGTCCATATTGGCTATATTGCAATTTAATGCTAATAAACACAATTTATGCTAATTGTGCCTATTGCCCAACATATGCAAGTTGGCATCGGGCAGTTTCTATGTGCTGGGGACCCGTACTATACATTTCTAACATAAAGCTTTGTTATACTCAACATTTCAGGGTTCACAATGCTGGTAACTATATTACTACTGTATAGAGAGGCGAAGTCGCGCCCATCTACTTCCGACCCATGGGACCTTATTTCGGAAAGATTATGTTTTGAAGTCAATGGGGAGAGAAAGATTATCTTTCGATCCCGTTTGAATTGTGCCAGGAATTACACATGATGTTTGTTACGACCCGTCCCCCAACCAAGCGGTAGTGGCTCGTGGGAAGACCCGTAACATAAAAACAAACCACGCCAAACACAGAATATCGTTAACGACGGGCATTTATTGTCAGCACAGCCGTAATTTACATGCCTACCGGCAAAAAGGAACCAAGTCTGGAGGACGGCAAAAAAACAAACAAAAAGGAAGAAGGGGGCCTGGGCCAGCCACACCATGGGCCGTAGGACCCAGACTTCCCTCCTCTACCCAGAGATCTAACACAACCATACTGGGAAAAAAACAAAGCTGTGAAAAATCATACACTAACATCCTCCAGAGTTCACACAATATAAGACAGCAAAAGAATAATGGATCCACACGTGGGGTGAGAGGAAATCCACGGATATAATCCCTCGGCATCAGAGCAGGAAAAGAGAGCCTTCTTCTCCTCCAGCTTCTCCTTTTAACGTCCCCAGCTGAATGTCATTAGGACACTTGGGGGAGGCGGAGCCAGGGGCGGACCAGGTGTACCTGTGCAGCAGAGAGACAGAGAAAAGCAACACAAGCACGTAACACCCCCACCATGAGTTATTTTGTATTTAAAAAAAACAATCACAACAATCGACTTTAAGTCGACAGAAGTGCTCAACCACTCAGTCCACACACCGAACAGGGTACATATCAGTCAAAACACAAAAAAAAAACTTGCAACCACTGCGACATTTTAAGAACAGTAACACCTCCATGTGGTTTAGAGCCAGAACCATAGCCAGTGCTTCCTTTTCGACTGTGGAACCAACGATGGAACACACCCGCTGGTGGGGATTGAATTTCCCGGAGCGGTACGACACAGGGCGCTCCACCTCACGATCAGCTCCAATACATCTGCACGCTGCGCATCAGGCAAGTGTGCCAAATGAGACTCCATATTGACCAGAGTCTCCGCAGCGATCGGGGCCTCCAAGGTGAAGGGGTGTCACTTTTAGCACTGGACAGCACCTCCACACAGGCAGCGACAGGGTTATGAACAGCCCCAGGGCTTATCGTACCTGATTTCCCACCCTCACGCCATGATGGAGGATCCCTGACCGGTCTGTCCAATCCTGTAGCCGTAAAACTGTCGCGGGTGACTGCCACCGCATTCACTCCCGGCTTAACGAGCACTCTGCCACCGGCTAAATCATTCCCCAAGACCAAATCTACCCCTTCAATGGGAAGACATGGCCGAACCCCGACAGTTACCGGACCTGTGACCAGATCTGACTCAAGATGAATATTATGCAATGGCGAACCCACACACTGCATACCAAACCCCTCACGAGAACACCCGAACCCACAGCAGACTCCTCAGAGAGGGGCAACACACCCCTCATCATAAAGGATTGTGAAGCTGCTGTATGCCTCAAAATGGTCACTGGAACCCTGTTGTTCTTCCCTGGTAAAGACACCATCCCCTCCATGAAAAACGGAGCAAATACTTCCAGTTCAGATTTGAAAGACCCTGGCTTTGAAGTACTCACCAAAGCGATCGTCTTTACAGGCTTCTTCTCATCCCGCAAAGCATAACAATTCGCAACAATATGACCTATTTTCTTGCAGAAATAACACACTGGGCTATCTCTGGTTCCCCAATTCACCTCCCTCGCCTTTTCCTCCACAGCTCTCGGCATGCTGCCCTGTAACGGCATGTTAGCGGAGCTTTCCCTGACCTTGTTGTCACCAAACCGGGCCTGCGCTCTATCCCTCTCACCGAAGACAGACTTGTGGGTGAGGACATACTCGTCAGCCAAAACCGCAGCATCAGACAGTTTCATAGGTTTTTGCTCATTTATATATGTGGCTACTCTGTCAGGCAAACAGTTTTTAAATTCCTCCATGAGCATCAACGTCGACGAGCACCACCAATCAAACAGTCCCTCTTTCTCACGGGCGAACTCCACATAAGCTTGAGAATCCCTTTTTCTAAAACTGCGAAACCTCTGACGATACACCTCTGGCACCAGCTCATAGGTGCGCAGAATTGCTGCTTTTACCTGCCCATAATCCCGGCTGATCTCGTCAGACAATGCAACATATACCTCCTGAGCTTTTCCTGTGAGAACGCACTGCAGCATCACAATCCACACATTCCTAGGCCACCTCAAGGTTGTTGCAACCCGTTCAAAAAGAATAAAAAAATTATCCACGTCCCTCTCACTGAATACTGGAATAAATCAGGTATATTTACCCACATCAAACTCATGAGGATGTGTGGAGCCCAACTGCTGAGTTTGGTGCGTTAATGTCGATAACTCCAGCTGCTTCAAACGAAGCATCCGATTAGACTCCTCCTCTAGTTTCCTGATTTCGAGATTACAGTCGAACTCCTTCTCTCTCAGTTTGTTGTCAATCTCCTTCTCTCTAATCATCAACTTTCGTAGCTCCAGCTGAAGCTGAAGCTCACTCATTGTCGGAGCGACCTCTGTTTCCTCGTCTTTAGATAAACAAGCAGCGCCCGCTTCCTCTGATAACACTTCCCGCTCTATCAGTGCAGCCAACAGCTGTTCCTTAATGACCTGCTTCTTGTGTTGTTTACTAATCGCAAATGTCAAATCTGCCTGCGATTACCCATAGTTGGGCTTTACTACAGGCGTTCAACTTCTCCCGAGTCGGACCACTAGCAAACCCCTCTAGATCAAACTCCATAACGCAAAATCCAACCTAAAGTCACTCCAAAGAAAAAAACAAAACTGAAACCAGCTAGGCTATCATTCTAGCCACCCTACACTGCACACACAAAGCAAAAATATATGCTGTCAATGGCCGTTCTAGAAATAAACACTCTCAGTACACCCCCATATGTTATGACCCGCCCCCCTACCAAGCGGTAGTGGCTCGTGGGAAGACCCGTAACATAAAAACAAACCACGCCAAACACAGAATATCGTTAACGACGGGCATTTATTGTCAGCACAGCCGTAACTTACATGCCTACAGGCAAAAAGGAACCAAGTCTGGAGGACGGCAAAAAATGTTTGTCAATCTTAAAAAATAATTTCCATGTCAAAAAAGTCACAGTTTGTCGTAAAACCTTTGAAATATACGACTAAGAAAGACTACAAATCCCAGAATCCCGGTCCTGTATGCTGGCTCTTACGGAACCGACTAACTCCCCTTGTGTGTTTGTACAGCTCTCAACATGCCCAGACTTGTAGTGATTTTCACCTCTTTTAATACTTTTCGCCTCATTCTGAAAGAAAGAAGTGAAATGTGCCAACGTGATGGCCGTCTTGGTGCGAGACGGGAGATGTAGTTCTTTGAGCGGTATCACACAAAAAAAAGTGTTACTTCACAGTTTTACGACACATTCTTTTTTTTTTTACTTGCAAAATTATCTTTTAAATTGACAAACATCATATGTGTAATTCATAGGGATGTAACGATATAGCGAATATCGCGGTATCGCGGTAAATAAACGTCCCAATACCGTCATGAGACTGACAAAATGTACCGCGATTTAAAAAAAAAAATGTTTTTTTTTTTTTTGAAAACACTTTTTTTTGTTTTAAACCTTTATTTAACCAGGTGGTACCATTGAGATCATCGATCTCTTTTTCAAGAGAGACCTGTCCAACATGGCAGCAAGTAGGTTACAACATGAACATAAAACAACAGAACACAAAAGGACATCGTATTTACAGGGCTACATTTACACACCTAGAGACATTGACAAGTACCAACAGTATATGTATATCTCGCCCTGTCAATAAGCCTCACCTTCTTGGCAAAAACTGTATTGTTTTTGAAGTGGTGGAGAGACAATGCACAGTTTGACCCACTGCTGTCACCCATGGCCAAAGCATATCTCTCCGTTCCACTGAGGTGGCGTTAGACTTTTTCGCTGTCCGTCATTTTGACAGACGGGATCGTAAAATGTCCGTCATAATCCCTTATTACCCGTCGGGTCTGAACAGTTCACGAGAGAGCACGCTCGTGAACTGTCAACGGGGGGGGCGGTGTTATGCCGTGTGTGCATGCACCTCGGGGGAGC